GAGTCCTGGTAGGACTATTTTATATTTGTTTGGATTTTTTTTAGACAATCATGTCCTTTTCTGTTAGGAGTAATCTTACTTTTTCCTTTGCAATGTATCTTCCATTTACTTATTTTTCTTACACTATTGAGCTATCTACAACCTCCAGTACAATGTCAAACAACAGTAGCAAGAGTGGAAATTTTTGTGTTGCTTCCACTCTTTGGTGTAAAAGAGTCACTCTTCACCTTTAAGTGTGAAGTTAGCTATTGATGTTTTTTTGAAGATTACCATCATTGGGTTGAGAAAATTTCCTTCCCTTTTATTTACAGTTTTTTGCTTTTACTGTGTCTGTTTAGATGATCATTTGATTTTACTTCTTTAGTCTTTTAATATGGTAAATTACATTGATTCATATTCAGGTATTAAACCAACTTTACAATTCTGAGATTAAACTTTACTTTTCTTGATGCATTTTTGATTTTACATATTGTTTGATTTAATTTGCTAAAACAAAAAAAATTTCCATCTATATTTATGAAGGCTATTTATCTTGAGTTTTCTTTAGGTTATAAATTGCCTATAGATATTTTCTTAAGGTGTTATAAATTGCCTTGTAAGCACTATGTTTATATCACATGTATTTTGATATGTTGTCTTTATATTTTCATTCACTTCAAAATGTTTTTCGATTTCTCTTTTATTTCATCTTCTTTTTTTAAAGTTTTACTATTATTTTTCTGGTAACAGCTTTCTTGATATTATCTATATACTATACAATTCACACATTTAAAGTGCAAAATTTTATGTTTTTTACATTATTCACAGAGTTATACAACCATAATAACAATCAATTTTAGAACATTTTTATCATTCCACAAAGATTCTCCTTCCTTTTAGCCATCACACCTCAAATTCCTCACCCTCAGCCCTATGCATTTATATTTTTTTGTGTGGTTACATGTTGTCTTAGGCACATAACTAGGAAATAAATTGCTTGGTCATATGGCAATTCTGTTTTTATACTCTCGGGGAACTGCCAGGTTGGTTTTCCAAGTGTCTCCACCACTTGACATTCCAACCAGCAGTGTATGAGTTTCCGGTTTCTTCATATCCTCATCAACACTTAGTATTATCTGTCTTTTTTATTGGAGTCATCCTAGTGTGTAAGAGGTAATATTTTGCTGTGGTTTTGATTTGCATATCCCTGCTTACTGATGATAGTGAACATCTTTTCATGTGATTGTGGGCCATTTGTATGCATTCTTTGGAAAAATGTCTATTTGAATAATTTGCTCATTTAAAAGTGGATTGTGATTTCATGATTGAACTAAAGAGTGGTTTATGTGTTGTAGATATTTGATCCTTATCAAATAGATGATTTGTGCATATTTCTTCCATTCTTTCATTGTTTTACTCTCTTGATGATGTCTTTTGGAGGCACTCCTTATTTTGAGCAGTTTGAATATTTAGAGAGTCTGATATTTTTCACAAATGAGGGAACCCTCTCTATTATGTATAGCATGATGCCCTTTTCCCTCCACTTCATATAAGCAGTCTCTGTGTAAATATTTACTTATGTATGTATATTTTTAATATACATATATTTATACATGGTTTAAATGTGCTAGGGCAAATGAGTTGCTTTAAAGCTTAAAAGAATCAATTTACTTAAAAATGAGAAATGTATCTATGGCTAAATTGAACAAGCACAATTTCCTATTACAATTATCTTTCATAAGCATTTTGATTGTAGCAGGCAGTGTTGGTGGCTTACTGAATAAATGTTCCTCTTCTTACTTCTAATTCCAAGAAGTTCCTTTCATGATAGTGGCTGAAAATGGAAGATGGTCATTTTGTCAGTACTCCTTGCAGCTAGATTGACTATGAGGCATAGTCCATACTAAAGGGAAGTAATCTATTGACTTTGAGAGATTTGCTTCATGATATAAAGAGACAGAGTTTTGAGGGGATTTCTTTTGCCATGTTCTGTTGCTTTCTTCTTTGGATATAGTTGTTCTTAGGTATGATTCCTGGAGCTAGGCAGTCATTTTGTGACCCTGAGGTGAACAGCTTGAGGACTAAAACCAACAATCTTAAGACAATGAAATGAAAATGTCTGAGTCTTTGAGAGCGTTTAGTCGCTGACCCAAGGACACTGTACCTCCAGATTTATTAGTACATGAGAAAAACAAGTGCTTAGGTTATGTGAGTTTTTTGCTGAGAATTAAATAACCTAAACAAGAAACTTTCTAATTGATAACTTGGGTTAAAAGTTACAATCCTTAAATATTAAATATAAAGTATGTTATTTTAACAGATGAATATCTTGAAGGATAGTCTTGCAACTTTTCCGTAAACATTGAAGAGAAAACTGTAACTTATTATGACAAAAAGGAGAGTACGTCCAGAGTTAAACTTAAATTTTAAATATATTCTGCCGTTCACTTGGCTAGTGCCTTTTGTTCATTATATTCTTGTGGTCTCTGAAATGTAAACATTCTCCAACATTCTCTTTTTTATGTTTGTTGAAAAGGGTAAGAGTTTGTGCATAGTCAATACACTCAGAACACTTAAATCCATCAGATTAGTACTTTCACAGTTTTTTACAAATTTTACTTTCACTTGTTTCTTCTTTAATTTTATCCAAAGCTTAATCATAATTTTGATGCTTATACTTTTATCACAACGTTTCAATTGTCCTATGGGTAATTGAGAACCGCTGAAACTTCTTAAATGAGGAAGGGACAGATCTGTGCTTTCAGATCTTGTTCTGGCAAGCAGTGTATATGGCCAATAAGAGGCAGCATGTGGGAAGAAGCTAGACTAATAGTTGGGGCCACTATAGTTCAGCAGTTCAGATTAATTAAAATCTGAAAGGTACCTGAACTTGTGTGGTGGCTGAGGGAAATGGATGGAATCACTGTGGCTAGAGACTCTAATGCTAAGCATATGAGAAATGTGTAAAATATTCTGCAAGTTTTCACCAGAGAAGAACAAAATTAGTGAATTATTTATGGAGTGCATTCTATATACTCTGCACCAAACACAGCAGCATGAGAAAAGCACTAAACAAGACAGAAGAGACGTTCGTCCTTATAGAGCTTATAGTTTATGGCAAAACACGGTAATTAAATAGAAAAAAAGTCTGATGAATATTAAGATGGAGGATCTATTGGAAGTGTTGAGAACATAAATACTCTCAGCTGACATTCATTGACTATTTACCATGTACCAAGTCCTGCCTAACCATTTTACATACATTTTTTTCGTTTAACCATTAAAACAACCCAATGAAGGAGTTGCTATTACTGTCATCACTGTTTCAGAAATTGTGAACCTGATGCATATAGAGTTTAAGTAATATGTCCAAGTTAGTAAATATGGGAGTAGGAGACAGCACATGACCTCTAACTCCATAGCTTCTACTCTTTTCTAGTATGAGAAGGAGTTAATGACCTCAGTTAATGAAATATTACATTTAAACACCAAGCGGGCTGCTTAGGTAGAAATTTTCAGTAGATGGTTAAAAGTAAAAGCTTTAGAAGGGAAACAGGGAGTAATTTTTTTTTTTTTTTTTTTTTTTTTTGGATAACCCAGGAGAGATAACAACTGAATTGAGTTAGTGCAATTTTTGAAAAATTTCAGATAAAGAAATGAAGACTCTTGCAGGAAGACTCTGTGGCAAATTTCCATTTAGGATACAGAAACAGAAAAAGAAGCTATATAATAGATCTTCCTTAACAGATGAAGACGATAGGAAGATTGATGTTTATTTTTGCCTCTTCCTTAGGGGATGAAAATCCCTAGAGTGAAGTGTAAACTAGATTAATATACTGAGTCCCTAAAAAACTAAAGAGAAATCATGGTCCAGAGTGTAATTATAATTCCCTTATTTATGATTTACACATAGACTCTATTCCATGGGGAAGAGAATGAGCAAGTTTCTACCCTATTTACAATCAAGTGCACTATATTATTAAACTTCAACTCAATCTTTCGTGTTTTATCAAGCGGCAAATGTGGTAATAATAAAGACTTTATTTTTCTCTGCTGCTTGAGAGGGCTTAAAGTCATAATCAGAAACTGTGATTTGTAGTTCAGAAAGATTATCAGGGCATATATGAAATAAATCTGGGCTACATCCTTTTGGAATTAAAGAAGACAAAGCCTCAGAATCTGTAATTGCCTTTCCAGGACCACTGTGGTAAATACCAAGGACAGGAGAGCACTAAGGTTTTCTGGCTTAAGGAGGGTGAGTTTCCGAATTCTGTTTAATGTCCTTCTTGTTTTGTGATAGAAGTCTAGGGACATAAGATCTACCACATTCTTTCCCATTTTGTGCAGTCTTGAGGTTCAAGTGAAATTTCCAGGAGAATGAATTCAATAGAGATCAGAGAATGTTTACAGATCGGATTAGGAGGCTCAGAAAGTGCAGTATCTCAGTCAGTATGTTCCCTCTCCATAGATGGAACGCTCACGTTTCTAGATTTATGGCTTTTACTCTGTGACATGGGCAATCACTTAACATTTCCTAGAATTTGGTTCCTTAGTTTTTGATTGGAAACAATCTCCTTGGCTCCCACTACACCAAGTCAAATCTGCATTAGAAGCCAGGACCATGTTGCTTGAGTGGCTGCCTCCAATTTTACCAGTGAGAGGAGGGCTTATGTGAGTGCAGAAATGATGAGATGAGAGAAGGATAATTTTGTTCTGGTCCATCAATCTTCTCGCTGGTTTTCTCAGCAGTCATGATTGCATATGACAGAACTGACCTTCTCTCTGTAGGCTATTTATGATGCTCTTTTCTATATTTGGCTTATTAAAACTCTAGTAAGGGAAAGTTCATGTATATCAGTGTCATGGTAATGGTAAAGGCAGATTCTTTTGTTCCAGGTTAGGCTAGTCTCAGACATTCCCAGTATATACAATTTCTTACAGGATGAGATATTGCAGGAAGAGCTGAGTTGTTCTGTAATCTAACACTTTTCTCCTGTGTCTACAGATTCCCTTAGAGAAGAATGGCTCCTGGAAATTATTCTTTTGTGACAGAATTCATTCTTTTGGGCTTAACAGACCAACCAGATATCCAACTCCCCCTGTTCTTCCTGTTTCTAGTAATGTATATGGTCACTGTGTTAGGAAATTTGGGCTTGATAACTCTAATTGGGCTGAATTCACACCTACACACCTCCATGTACTTTTTCCTCTTTAACTTGTCATTCGTAGACCTCTGCTATTCTTCAGTATTTACACCAAAAATGATGACGAACTTCTTATCAAAAAAGAATTATATCTCTTACTCGGGGTGCATGACTCAGCTCTACTTTTTCTGCTTTTTTGTCATTTCTGAATGCTATGTGCTGACTTCAATGGCCTATGATCGCTATGTGGCCATCTGTAATCCGCTTTTGTATAACATTGTCATGTCCCCTAAAGTATGTTCCAGCTTTATGCTTGGTTCATACTTAATGGCGTTTTCTGGTGCCATGACCCACACTGGATGCATGCTGAGACTGACGTTCTGTGATGCAAACACCATCAACCATTATTTGTGTGACATCCTCCCTGTGCTCCAGCTCTCCTGCACAAGCACCTACATCAATGAGATGGTTGTTTTCGTTGTGGTGGGCATCAACATCATTGTGCCCAGTCTCACTGTCTTTATCTCTTATGGTTTCATCCTCTCCAGCATCCTCCACATGAGCTCCACAGAGGGCAGGTCCAAAGCCTTCAGTACCTGCAGTTCCCACATAATTGCTGTTTCTCTCTTCTTTGGATCAGGTGCAGTTATGTATCTCAAACCATCTTCTGCTGGATCTATGGATGGGGGAAAAATCTCTTCTGTCTTTTATACCAATGTGGTTCCTATGATGAACCCCTTAATCTATAGCTTGAGGAACAAAGATGTTAAAATTGCTCTGAGAAAAACCCTGGGGAGGAGAAAACTTTGATTAGAATCAGTGTCTCTTTGTACATATAGTCATAGGAGAGGGAGATTCCATGATGGGACTCAAAATACAAATGAAATATTTCAACTTCAGAATAAAATAGTCTTTTAAAAAATTAAGTTCCATTCCTTCAGATTATTTTGGAAACAATTAATAAGAAAACCAGATATATGGACAGACTGTAAAAGTTAAAGGTGGCAAAGTTTTAATAGAACCAATTTGTCTTTTTATTTATTTTATTTATGTGCTGTATAGCTATTTGGACTTCTTGATACAGTAGGGATATGTCAGAGAAAAAATATCAGGTGTTTACATGCACAGTATAAAGTGATTATTTTCAGTTTTTTGTTCTATTTGTTATATGGAATGTGATAAAGGGCATTATGAGGAAAAGGTAATTCTATTCAAGTTGTTGCAGCTGAGAGTCAAACAAGTAAGCCACAGGATTTGCCCATGCCTATGTACTAGGAAGGGCATTTTTATAGTTCAGTGTGAAAACTTAGACAGTCTGGGCAATAACAGAAAATGTTCCCCTTAGTTAAACCATTGAGAAAATTTCCTGGAGCCAGCCCGGTGGCGCAGCAGTTAAGTTCACATATTCAGCTTCTCGGCGGCCCAGCGTTCGCCGATTCGGACCCCAGGTGTGGACAGGGCACTGCTTTGCAAAAGCCATGCTGTGGTAGGTGTCCCACGTATAAAATAAAGGAAGATGGGCATGGACGTTAGCTCAGGGCCAGTATTCCTCAGCAAAAAGAGAAGTATTAGCAGTAGTTAGCTCAGGGCGAATCTTCCTAAACAAAAAAAAAAAAAAGAAAATTTCCTGAGTACATGCTAAATTTCTTTAATGTAAATTTTCTCTGAGAAAGCTGCTATTGTTGTTCAGGATCAAGTTTGGAATGAGTATGCTCAGGGTGTACTGTGGTAAAGAGCTGAGGAAAACCAGAAGTAAAAGGGGTTTTGAGTTTTATGTCCTCTTAAGCCCTGAACCCCTCAACTTTATTGAACTCCATCCTCCACTACAATTTGCACTGCCTCCCTACACACACGCAGTGTCCTCAAGTCTTGTATTTTATGAGATCACTGCCTAACATTGATTGCATGGCATGCAACCCACTTTTAATCTTTTTTAAGCACATTCGGGTAGATGCTTCCTGGTTCCAGCTCCAGAGAGGCAAGTCTGAGCACGAAGTACTTGATGAATCCAGCAAGAGGAAATGATTATTGCTTCAATGATTTCTTCATGTAAAAGCAAAACAAAATGCATTTGTTACCTACTGAGTGCCTAGCAATGTGTGGGAATGTGCTATCTGTCACAATCATAAACAAGGCAATGCAAGAGAAAGATATAAACTTAGAGTTTCATCATGCGACGTAGTGGAGTTACATACCATATGTGGATAGATTCTAAAATTGGACTTCTGTGGTTTCAATTAGTCCTGGAAATTGATTGTGTCAGCAAATCTCCATGTTGGGAACAGACATGGTCGAAGTCTGGCACACTCAGTGTCCTCCCTAGCATGAGAGATTTCACCATATATTCAGTTTAGTATCAAATGAAGTAGCTGGTTTATATTCAGGGTGTTGCTGTACAAAATATGTACCGTTGAACATTAAAATCACTCTCAGCATGGGGAAGTTGTACATTCTGAGACCGAGATTTCCTCCTTTCTCAGTGATAGGGAGGGCTGATGGAATGACCTAAGCTGTTTAAATTCTCTCTGACATAAAGTAGAATTAACCCACTTCAAATATTAATATATGTGCAGGAAGGTATAACTATTCTTAGAAGGGCTGCTGTTTTACAGTTTGCTCTGCACTGTTACATCTGTCAGTCTATGTGTTTTCAGGGAAGAACTTTGAGGTTCATGAGAAAACGGGTCTTTTTATTTATTTATTTATTTATTTATTTACTTTTTGATGAGGATGATTGTCCCTGAGCTGACATCCCTTGCCAATCTTTCTCTTTTTACTTGAGGAAGATTGTCCCTGAGCTAACGTCTGTTCCAATCTTTCTTTTTGCATATGCGATGCCTGCCACAGCATGGCTTGATGGGCAGTGTGTAGGTCCGCACCCGGGATCTGAACCTGTGAATCCTGGGCCACCAAAGCGGAGCGTGCAAACTTTACTACACCACTTGTTCGGCCCTGAGGAAGGGGATCTTGAATGATGAGGGTGAAACATTGTCCAGAAAGTATCTTTCACATTTCACATTTAACATTTCTATTGCCTAATTTAGAATTTGTGAACATATTCTTATTTTATACTGGCCTATATAATAAATGGTAATACATAAAGGTAGCCTATAATAATCATTACTATTATTGGTGCTTACTAAGTTCAAGGGTCAGCACTAAGTTCTCACACTCAACAATTATTTAATCTCCACATCAGTGACTTTGGTAGGCACCAATATGATTAGTCCAATGTGGCAGAGATTGGTACTGTTCACCTCTTATTCCAGAAAATCCATTTCCCAGTATGTTTTGCAGTGAAGTGTGGTATGAGACTGAGATCTAAACATGATGGAAACCATTCCAGGGCCAAAGTGTGCCCTTTTGATATTCTCTTAAACCTTCTGTGGGCTAGATGCTGATGACAATAAGGCCTTACATAGGTGATGAAGCTACAAGAGAAGCCAGGAAGTTATTCCCATAGAATCAGGATGGAGAATGGAAGAATGGAGCACACAGAAGGTTTGGGGTGCTGACAGTAATCTATTTATAGGTCTGCAGGTTGGCTATGTGCTGTTCATTTTATTTAAATTACAAGAAGTTTTTATTTTATAGACTTTTTTCTATGTGTTTACCCTAAATTTCACAAAAAGTTAAGGTTAGAAAACTTTGATTTGAGCTCTACTTAAACTGAACATTAAACTAATCTAGAAGCAAAAACTGAGAATAAAGCCCCGAGTATATGGAACAGCCTGCCTAGTACAGAATGCCTCCCGCAGAAGAAACCAGTGGAGGTAGGGTAATATGTACAAAGTTATCCAGACCAGTCCAGGGAAGAGAGAATTCTCTTTGCCAACTCCATTAAGAATTTCCACTAGTCTGTGCGGGTAGTGGAGTCAATGTATGATCCTATTGTATAGATTTGGAGTATGTTGTATGTTACTGTGCTTAGGTTAATTGCATTATAAAGAGGAATTAATTCTTGTAATTTCATTTTCTCAACTTTTTCTACATTCTTGATAAAGTCTTTCCTAAAGAACTTCTTCAGGCTTTATTTTTGACAACTATGAGATGATAACAGTTTGGGAATATAGAAATATAGATTTATTTAGGCATAGAGAATGTACTTCAATCATCAGAAATATGATGAAACATGATGATTGAATCAGAGTAAAGTATCACAATTATAATAGAAGTTCAGAGTAAGTAACTTTGTGCTGAGTAACAGAATATTGGGTTAGAGCATTTTGTGTCTCACTTGTCTGGATAAAAATTGTTTCTGGAGATCAGGATAGACCTGAGCCTGAAGGTAGAAGTCAGAAACACTCAGTGGAGTGGAGAGTGAATAAGTGGTTGGCCATTGGTTTTTGCATGTATATACTCATAATGCAATCATAATGGCTCTTCCAATTCTATCAATATGTCGTAATATTGGGAGCTTGCCATGGATTCAAGAGAAATGAATTGATTTTTAAAAATGATGAAAAAGAACATTTTGGCAGTTATTGCCATGAGCAATAAAGATAAATCAACATAAAAGACTAAAACTAGAAGGGGACAATTATGAAAAATAAGGGCTACGGGTAAGAGTTCATTCACCACTACTATGGGCTCAGAAAATGTGAAAAAATTAACATTATTTTGACAGAACTCTGACTTGAATCTTTGGATTGAAATCCCACGCTAGTAAATTCTGTGGATCAAAAACTCAGTGAAATTTTAATTTGCCCTTGCAATACTCAGGCTAAAGACTTCTACTACCCTATTATTCCAAAAAAGAAAAAAAAAGAGGCTTTTAATTTTCCCTAAATCTCTAAATATCTCCCTGTTCGCTAAGGAGATCTGAATTTATGGGAAATTACATTGATGAAATGGTGCTTTCTGTTTATTGAAATCTTAGTTTGGAATTGGAACTCATTATAGAAATCATAATGTGGCAGAATTCCATGTGCCAGATAAGCAACTGTGGATTATACAGTGCAGAGTGAGGTATTATGTATCACACCGGGGAAACATTTATTTTGTTGTTGGTACAATTTTAACCTTTCATCCATATATTTTCCCCTGCTTGGACCGATGATCTCTTCCTTTTCTTTCTCCTATTACCTGTTAGTCCTATCTTTATGGAAGCATTTTCTGATTCCCCGAGATTGGAGGAGGGTTACCTTCCTTGGCTTTCATCCCATTGGTGTTTACTTCTACTGTAGTATGTATCACATTGTATTATAAATATTTTATAGGTATTTGTCAATCTTAACGTAACACCTCTAGAAGCAGATTATTTTCCCTCAAAATGAGTGGGTCTTTGCACAGAGAACACACTCAAGTGTATGCATAAAAAAATATTTCAATGTCACCTCTTCTCTTCAAGGCAATGGAGAAGAAAATGGAATACCAGTAAGGCTTTACAGTTTCTCACCACACAAAGTAGGGTAGATGCATTATCAATGAGTATGGCAAATGTAGTTGATTTAGCATGCTGAGGTTTCCACCAAACTCGTCCTTTCTTGTCTGGTCAGTCAGGAAACCTACAACTATGGGCAGGCCTAAACAAGTATGTCTTCTTATGTTATCTGCCATGGAGAGATGTCTAGTTTGATTCTTATGGGTCAGTCAGATATAGTCTTGACTCTTGTGGACAGTTGCCAGACATTCAGGGGCTGACATGTTTAGCTACAAACTACAAGCCATATATTTCTATTTCTATCATCTATCATCTATCCATCTGTCTATTTATCTACCTATCTATCTATCTATCTCTCTAATCTCTCATATGATATATCTAAGACCCATTGACATGCTTACATTTCAAACATAGAATTGATGTCTAA